GAGCTCTCTCCAGCTAAGATAAGGATCTGGGCTGAAGAGGTTGGCTGAAAAACCAACACATCTCCTAAGCCGAGGATAAGGATCCAGGCTGCAGGACGTTTGGTTGAAAAAACCAAACACTTCACTCTAAGTTGGCAAGAATAACTGACTTTGAGCTCTCTTCAGCTAAGATTAGGATCTAGGCTGAAGAGGTTGGCTGGAAAAACCAACACCTCTCCTAAGCTAAGATAAGGATCTAGGCTGCAGGACGTTTGGCCGGAATAACCAAACACTTCAAGTTGGCTGGAAAAACCAACACTTACTTTTCCTAAACCGAGATAAGGATCTAGGCTGCAGGAAGTTGACTAGAAAAAACCAACACTTAGTATTCTTCAGCCGAGTTAAGGATCTAAGCTGAAGAGTGGTTGGTTGGAATAACCAACTCTTAGTACTCTTCAACCGAGATAAGGATCTAGGCTGAAGAGTGGTTGGCTGGAATAACCAACTCTTAGTACTCTTCAGCCGAGATAAGGATCTAGGCTGAAGAGTGGTTGGCTAGAATAACCAAACTCTTAGTACTCTTCAGCCGAGATAAGGATCTAGGTTGAAGAGTGGTTGGCTAGAATGACCAAAGCAGATTACAAGGTTAAGATCCGAGATAGGTATCTCGGCGAGAAAATGTTATACAACATCACAATTGGAAAGTAAATACCAGCATGGCATGGCAATTAACCGAACTAACACTTGAAACAAGAGGAGATTTCATTCAAAATGCAAATCAAAGGTACAAAAGATGCAGTATAACATTTTCTAGCCCGATTACACATTCTTTGCAAAAGTAGAAGAAGAGAGTACAAAATCAGGCAAAAAGGTCGTTAAGATCCGCATCCAGTTCAACTCGAAGCCCGGTTTCAACAGGTAGCTCGGTCACACTTTCAACCAAGTCTTCCACCGGTGGCTCCACACGAGCTGACTGAACGACGGGATCATTGGCGATGACTGGGGCATTGTCGGGCTCTGGGGCCTGCTCTTCATCATCGTCTTGAAGAAATTTTTGTTGAATGGCGTGGGCATACTTCGCCATGTAGCTCGGTATAAAATGTGGTGAAGGGTTGAGGAAGACCTCGGTCTTTTGGCTAAGACCGAGCTGCGCTACCGCCGCCTTCCATCCACATTTGAAGAATATATCTTTGGCAGCCTCGCATTGCTGAATGTAGGTGTCCTCTCCCTCCTTGTAACCCCAGTTTTCAGCACCTTCCACGCTCTTCTCCAATCGGGCAATTTCATCATTCTTATTTTTCTCGAGCTCGGCCAGCTCGCGCAAATATTTATCTTTCAGCACGGCCGCAGCCTTTTGCTTATCAGCTTCGGCCAAGCTGACAAGACCGATCAAGTGGGCCATCTCGGTATGTAGCTCGGTCACTTTCTTCTTGGCCTCCTCTAGCTCGACCGATTTAGCATCGGCCTCTACCAAAGCCTGCCTTGTGGTTTTTCGAAGCTCCAACACGCGCTTATGAGCGACGTGGTTCTTCTGGAGGGCCTGGAAACAGAGGATCAATTTTGAGCTGAACCGAGTGAACAGATGTAGAAATTAAGGCAAGAGAAAGGAGAAAACTTATTAGCACCATTGACTTTGTTGCCGAACGAATGGCTTTTAGCTCGGTAAGGTGATTGTGGTGCTCCATATCAGCTAGAAGGCAGACGCCCTTGGCAAGATTAAAGGCCAACACATGGTCTTTTTTAGCAACCACCAAGTCTGAGTCAGCAATAGTGCAGTTCTTGTAGGTGATTTTTAGTACCCATTTAGAGGAGGTAGCTCGGTCAGAGCACTCCGGTTGTGGGCTCGGTGGTGCGTTCTGGAGAAGGATGGTTCCATCTTCGTCGACAAGGCGTGGCTCGGTTATGGAAGTCCGAGCACGCTTGTTTGGGCGGGATAATGAAGGCTGATGGGATGGTAAGGCTACCACGGTCTCCTGAGTCTGACCAATTTGTGGTACCTGGGGTTGGTTTGTCTCGGTGATTAGGGCCCTCACTGCTCTCTTCTTCTCCATCTCTTGTTCAGTAGTTAGTGAGATCAGGTTGATTTGAGGCAAGGTTGGATCAGGTTCAGGAGAAGGCTCCAAGAGGAAGTCTGTCACTCTGGTTTTTCTCTTGCTACTGTATCGATACGTCGGCTCAAAGTTGAGTAGCTCAGCCTAACTTTGGTCGGGATGCCTTAGTGCGGCGCGGAGTATGCCAAGGTTGGGGTAGCTGTACTGGGACTTTAGAAAGTTTAAATCTGCAAAAGGGAAAAGACAACGGTTAGTACAGTTGAAAATAAGCAACAAAGTAAAGAAAAACATGAAACTAAGCCGAGGTAATTATACCGGTGACTCCTTTGTTCCAGTTTATTCGGTCGCCTAGGATCTGGGCCTCATGGTCTTCAAAATTCCCAGAAACCCAGAAAAAATCATTGTCGTTTATATCTTTGTATGGGGTATTCTTTATTATCTTTTCACGGCGGCGCCTTATTCTTAAATAGTAAATCCAGCCGTCATCATTTTGGCCTAGAGAGTACTGGTGAAATAGCTCGGCCAAACCGAGGTTGAGGCCAAGCCGACAGTTTAGCTCGGTAATGCCATTTATTATTCGGTATGAGTTTGTTGAAAGCTGGGTAGGGCAGAGGTTTGTTTGCCTAAGGAACTCACAAAGAAGATGCTGTACAGGGAATCAGAGTCTGGTTTCTACAATGGAAAGAAAGGTGAAGGGAACGAAGCTTGGGTTTCCCCAGGGTGTGGTGTCTAGTTCGGCTAAAGTAAGATGGACATCATCAGGGATATGGTAGTCCTTTCGGGACTCGGCCATAGCCCCTGGTGAGTTTACCAAAAACCTATATTTACCCATGAGGTCTTAAATTATGTATAAATAAGCTGGAATGCTAGCTCGGTGCTGAGATGCCGATGGATATCTCAGTTGGACGTTCAAAAGAGTGCCTGGGCAACCTAGTTAGAGTCTGCAAAGTGCAAAGGAAAAAGTGTTAAGCACAGATCGATGGACCGTGCTAAAAGCAAAAAAGGAAAAATAAATGATGTCTTAGCTCAGCTACGTGGAATACTATCCATTCTTAGCCCGGTTTGAGCAAGGGACTTTAGCCTGGTTAAGTTATGAGAAGTTCGTGGCCTGGCTGTAACTTATGGGGTAGCATTCTTAGTTCGGTTATGACTAAGTCAGGAAGCTGGTTTAGCCCCAAGTTATAGCTCGGTCGATGGTTGGGGCTTTCTAGTACGGCATTGCGCAAACCTAATATAGTTTGCTAGCTCGGCTAATGTGAGGCAGAAGGTGCTTAGACCTATTGAAACTACAAGTATGGCATAAAGTTTTAGTTCAGTTGTTTAGTTTGGCTAGGTGCGCGCCTAATACAAACAACTTCCTAGTTCGGTTGGAGTGCGATTTTGGATCTAAAAACGTCCTATTTTAGTTTGTTCGCAAATCCAGTAGGTGTGAGTACCATTCAATAAATTCTTACTCATTACAGAGAAAACTATTTGAAAAGTGTTGTGAGAAAACACGTATATTCAAATGGCACATGTTGCCAGTCAAATGGAAAGCAAAAGAGGATTGAGTTACTTACAGATGGGAGAAGGGAGGATGCCGATTTGAAACCCCAAAGATGGTGTTGAAAATACAAGCTTCACAGGTGCAAAGGTTACATAAATGGAGGCTCAAGCGAGAGAGAGAGAAGATAAATAGTGCAAGTGAAATGGTTCGAAGCATAAGGGTTTGTTTTGTGAAAATGGAAGAAAAAAAAAAACAGGACTGTTCAAAATTCGCGAGGTACGAGGACGGCGTGACAGCTACGCTGGGCCAATGAGAGTCTGCCACGTGTACATGGAATAGAAAGCGATTCAGTGACAGCGTCTGAAGAGACGTTTTTGACCGGACATATTAATAGCCCGGTGTAAATTTAGCTCGGTTGAAGACCACAGTTTAGCTCGGTTGAAAGGCTAAAATTTTAGCTCGACTGGAAACATGTAATCCCAATCATGCTACGTAGATGGAATTAAGGGGCAATTGAGAGAGTAATTTATGTCTAAGTAGGAGACTTCTTTGTTAATTGGGCTGCAGGATGGACCAAGGTAAAAGCAAATTTACTTCGGTCTAAAAGACTAAGCGCATGAGCCGAGCTAGCTAAGCATTGTGCTTGGGAGAGCCGAGCTAGCTTGGCATTGTGGGCTTGAGCGCCAAGCTAATTCCTACTTCGTATTTGGTTAGATCGGTATTAAGGAAACAGCCCGGTTGGAGTATGTCAAACCGAGGTACATGCAGTGAAAGGAAGAACCGAGTTAATTGGAGTTCGGTCTATTCTGCGGCTTCAGCATGGCCATATTAGCTCGGTCATATTGACATCCAACCGTGGTAAAACCATCTCACTTGGTTTAAGCAGTGAGGGAGTGGTGAAGCATAGCCATTATCTTTCAGGAGTGTAATTCCTAAAAGGACTCTACATGGAGGACTAAGAGTCCTACTAGGATTGTGCCACGCGGAACCTATAAAAGCTCGTAACATCATCTATGAAGAGGTAACACAACTTTCATTCTTGAATACACAGAGTTTTTGTCTATTTATCTATTTGTCTATTTTGCTGACTTAGGCACTGGAGAGGTATTCGGCACACACCGACTGAGGCACCGGAGAGGTATCCGGCACACACCCGCCGGCTAGCTCACGTTTGTGTTTTCAAAGAGTAAAGCGATGATATTTAGAAGAGCGCAAACTTAATCAATATAATTATACGAGAAGAATTATTTCGTACTCGTACATTGATGTAATATATTTAGTTAATAAAAGAAGTAAAAAAGTTTGTTTGATTCTAGAAGGACACTTTGCATCGGTAACGGATTAATTGAAATACATGTAAATTGTTCTGGATTAATTGAAATACGAGTAAATTGACCCAGAGATTTGGGCATTAAAAAAATATACATAATTTTTGTTTCAAAAAATTATACAAAAATAAATGGTGTGAATTGGGGAAAAAAGGTGGAGTGTGGTGGCACGGTTGTGCCGAAAATTGGAAGAGATATTTTGTGGGGGTGAAGGAAGGTGAGGTGAGAGAGGATTTTGGAGAGGTTTTGACCCTTTCTTTGTGATGGGGAACCAGTGGTCGAGAGACCTAAGTTAACTACACATCCAATTGCTCTCTCTCTCTCTCTCTCTCTCTCCTGCTAAACCTCCTTATGATTCATGAACATTTGATTTGAAGGCCACTCTTCAATTCCTTATTCATTGGGTAATGGGTTTGAAGCTAAATGTCAAATGGGGTTCTCCAGTTCAGTCCCCTTACCATCTAACCACTTCATCCTATTGCCCTTCTTCATTCTCATGTAAGTCCTTTGTATTGTTTTTCTTTACATTTTACTGATTTCTATGGTGTTGTGTGATGTTTTTAGTATTGTTTATTATAAAAGATAATCGATTATTGCTAAAATTGACTATAAAATCATGGGTTTTGTTCTACTTGCATGCTTTATTCTTTGAAATAAAAACTTAGTTCAATCATTATATTGCAAGACACAATTCCAATTCAATAATATTATTACTTTTGTTTATTGCTTGAATTTATCAGTGTTTAATGTTTATTAGTTGCTTGCAGTTGCACCCTTAGGGCACAATCCAATTCAATAATATTAATTTTATTTATTGCTTTAATTTATGACTTGTTTGATGTTTATTAGTTAATTCTAGTCTTATGATTGCAGTCATCTCCTAGAGTAGAAAAACACATCAGACTTACATTTATTCTCGTTGGCATATCTGATCCTGTTAAGAGATCCAGCACGCACATATGGTTGTTTCCATGTCCATGTGTTGTGAGGTGTCTTGTTCTTTTACTGACATTAATTTACTTTGAGGAGTCTTTTTTTTTTTCTTTAGTTGGCAAGAAAGAAACTTAATTGATGAGATCGATGAATACACATTGATACAAAGACATCAATAAAGAAAAGGCAAGTTCACTAAACATCAAAGCAAACAAAATTGATACCTATTAGGTTGGCACCAAAAACCAAGCCATATCAACTACTTTAAGGAGTCTTTTATAGTGGTGGAGGGCCGAGGTTGCCAAGGCCTGGATTTTGGAGGTATTTATTGTATTTTTCGGCTAGGGTTTTAGTGTGTGAGAGTGCAACCACATTGTAGAGCCGTTGAGTTGAGAGGTTCAAAGTTGTGTAAACCTTATTGCGCATAGTGGATTTGATCTCTTCCCCTCTGTGTACTTCGGCTCATTGCTAAACTCGTGTGTTTCCTTTGTTTCTCTTTAGCAAAAATTAATTGGCACTGCTTCCTTTTAGATTTTTTTTTTTAATTTTTAAATAAAAAAGTTGCAATTGTTACGTGAAACTCTGATGGTAAACCTATTTCAAATTAGAGTTTTTGTTGTTTGCGCACAAATGTTACTTTTGTTTTTCATTGCAAGCTAAGATTGGAGGTGGTTCTTTGCTATTTTAATAATTGAATTGGTTTAAGGTCATATTGTAAGCTATGGTTTGGTTTCTGGTTGGGTAACCATAATTTGAGTCAACAGTCTACAAAGAGTGGAGTTTCTATATTTTTCTCCAAATATGTCCATTAGTGTGCTGAACCTTGTATGTTCCTAATCACATACCTGATTTCTTTCCTCCTTATTTATTTTACGTCTCATCTGGATCATACATCTGCATAACAACAACTTATACTAACAGAATGAAGAATAGAGTTTGTCTTCCCAAAATGATGCTTCATGAATTAAGCATGGGGTTAATGGAGGACTGCTGTTTTTGAGCTGTCCTTGAAGTTCCTTCAATCAGTACTGAGCTGTTTAAAATTTCTTTCACAACTTCATGCTTGAGGTTGGGTATTTTATGGTCATTATATTCGTCATGGTAAATTGCCAAAAAAATTGACTCGTTTAATTTATTCTAATTCCAAATATTTCATTGTTCCTATTCTAAAACTCAGTCTACTGAATTTAGTTGGGAAGTTATTGAGTTTTAGTGGAGAAACATTGTCCCAAGTGCATGTAGGTTGTAGACCATTCCTGCAGGCTGAAACTAGTATTTTTAAGTCAATCAGACAATATTATCAGAAAAATAAAAAGATCCTTTCAATTCTATTTAATGTTTAATATTTTGTGTGTTTTTGGAGTTCTAAGTGCTATCCGTTATTATTGAGTCAACTGAGATCAAAGTTCTACAACATGTCTGCCCTTTAATTTTCAAATCGACTTTATATTTTGAACTTGGGTATCTTCACATTCATATTGAGACATGTATACTCAGTGGTTTTCTTTTCGATTTCATTGCACCAATGTGTGCTTTTTCTAATTGATCTATAATATATCATATCATTAGTTTTATGTTGTTTTTGTTCATATTATCTGTTATTTTCTTTTATTTACTATTTATTTATTTTTAATTATACAGCTAGAAGCAAGGAGACTTCATATGACTCAGCAAGGGTGACTTTTGCTTTTGTTATTTCCTGTCAGAGTGAGGCTTCATATAATGGTCCTTTGAAAGCACATAGATGTCCAACTGCTCCTCAAACCTCAGAAAATGATTACTCAGAAATGGAAGACATAAAGGTTCTCCCCTATTTTAGAGTTTTGTTGATAAGTAATTGTGATTTGTTAGTTTTTAACATCAAATGGATACTTAATTTTGACTCTGATCATTCAGATGAATATTGGCAAGAGGTCCCACGATGGCTTAAATAACACGCTTGACGATAACATAACAATGCCCATGGGAGATGATAAGCTGACATTCCTTGCAAGCTTACAAGCAAGCAGGGCGTCACAATTTGGTTTATTATTGCAAAATCTTGATATGTTGGAATCAACATTTGCTGATTCAGATGTGGTAAGGTTGGAAAGAGATATTATGGTGCAACTAGAAAGGCTTGGAGCTCTAAAATTATTCCATACCTGTCTGTCCAGGACCCTTAAATCTTCAACTTTTTCTGACTTCTCTGACTCGCCAACTCAGCTTATTGGAGAGCTCCAGAAGAATGACACGGCAGATGTTCACTCAGGGAAAATTGTCATTCCCTCTAGAAAGAAGGAAGAAAGAAAATCAAGAAGAAAAAGAGCATCAGAAAAGGTTTCCGGACTGGCATTTCCATCAAAAGGCACCCAAAAGGACCAGAAGAAATCTGCTTTATCTTCTGTAAAAAGACTATCAAACTCTAGAAGTAGAAGACTAAAAGTTGCAAAGAACGAGGCTGAAATGGCAAGAGGGGTTAAGGTTATGATCTGTTTCTGTGAAGTATTATTCATCTTCTTCTGTTGTGCTTTGGGAATGATTTTGTATGTCATTTTTTATAATATTGCAGTTGGTCGAATATTTGGAAGGAATCAGAACAGTATTGGAAGAAGAAACTGGGCAAGTAGCTAGCTTGAGTAGATGGGCAGAAGCCGCTGGAGTTGAGGAGAAGGTATTGAAGCAGCATTTACATTTTGGTTGGTATTGTAAGGATGAGCTTCTGAAAAGCTCACACTCCTTAGTTGTATACCTTGCAAGAAATTACAGGGGAATTGGAGTGGCCTTTGAAGACTTAATTCAGGTTGGTCAAACTTGTTTCTGTATGATTGGTGTAATTTTTTTTTCTTTTTTTGTTTTAAATTTGTTTCAGTGATACGGTTCTTTAATAGATTTCACCCTAGAGTATTATGCGTGTGGCAATCATTTGGCCATAGTGACCAACTCTGGATCTCAAGATGATTCAGTTACATTTACGATCGATTGTGAGGATCGACCATAATATTATCACCAGTTCCCAATGTCAGAGTATAAAAAGTGTCTATTCTTGACTTTTCAGCTCCTCCCTGCTAACATTGAGAATGGTACAGTCTGCCTGATTCGCTATAGCCGCATTTCATGTTTTGAGTCCATCAACCAGTTTTTTGGGGGTATTTTTTTTTTTTCTGTTTTCTTTTGATTGTTACTATGAATTTGTTTGGCGGATTAGGTTGGATAGGATTATGAGTACAGTAGGATTAGTGAGGAGATTTCGAGATGTATGATAAAGAGTGTTTGTTTGTGTACTAGTGTGGTGGTATTAGTTGTTAGGATTAAATCTATGAAACACCCTCATTGTATAATAACTAGCTTTGTTGTTTTTGTAATGTAAAGGCAAAATTGTACTTTCACACCTAATCCCATGGGATTGGATTACCAATCCCACCCCTCCTATGGGAAAGCTAATCTCATCATATGGGGGTATTCATAATCCCATGGGACTACTAGCCTCGTCCTATTTTTGTCAACCAAACATGGGCTATGTAGGGCTCACAGGATTGCTAGTCCAATCCCCCCATCTATAGAGCCAAACAAACATGACTTAGAAAGGAATGTTGAAAGATGTTATTGATTAGTGCTAAGGATTGGACAGAAGGGGAAAAAAGGGGATGGGTGCGCAATATTCTTTATTTTGCAAATATCTTGTGTCCAGGCTAAATGATAATGAAACTTAATCTTACTCAACATTTTACAGGCTGGGAATTTTGGTGTCCTGCAAGGCGCAGTAAGGTTTGACCACACTAGGGGATACAAATTCTCAACTTATGTTCAGTACTGGATAAGGAAATCAATCTCAACGCTGGTCGCACAGCATGCCAGAGGGATTCGAATTCCTGTGTGTACTTCTCTGATTAATTAGATTGCTTCTTTATTCAATTTTTGGTTTAGTGAATTCTAGAGCTTATTATTCTCTTCATTGCTTTTCTGGTTGAACTTTTATGCAGTTCACATTAAACAAGGCAATAAATCAGATACACAAAGCTCGAAAGGCCCTAAGCACAAGCCAGGGGAAATACCCTGGTGATGATGAAATTGCGAAGTTCACAGGACTATCCTTGGCGAAAATTACTTTGGCAAGCAAATGCTTGAGAGTCGTGGGTTCAATTGATCAGAAAGTGGGGGATTTCAGTGTTAAGTTTATGGTACGTCACACATTTTGTATTCTGCATTGTCTTGGTTCCTTTAGTGCATCAACCTCACTCTTATCAGCACATGAGGATCCTGTTCATTGAATTTGTGTCTCGTGCTCTGGCTAGATATGCCTGTTATTTGATTCAGCTGTTGCATCATATTTGCTTTTCATATTTTGGGTGGATGGTTGAATGACGTGAAAAATTGACAATACCCTCAGATTTAGGTTTATGATAATACTTGGACATGTACCCACACCTTATACTTGTACCTGAGTTTATGTAACATGGAATTGCACTATTGCTATACTTATATGGACTATATATTTGTTGAATGATATTCCTTTCTTAGGACGGTGAAAGATGTGTTCATACTCATTCTGGCAGGGTTTAATATGGAAAACCATCTGAGAAAATTCTTTCCTTTATAGCTCATAGAAATACTTGCCGAGAGTCCTTGAAGAGCTGGTTTTGTTAATTTTAACTTGTTTTTTGGCATTCATGATGCAGGAGCTTACAGCAGATAAATCAATAAAGAGCCCCGAAGAAGCTGTCATGAGGCAACACATGATAAAAGAGATACATGGTCTTCTGAATGGCCTGGGTCTGAGAGAGAGGCAAGTGTTGATCCTAAGATTTGGCCTCGGTGATCACCAGCGCAGGTCGCTTGAGGAAATCGGGAGACGTTTTTGCGTGAGCAAAGAGTGGATAAGGAAGATAGAGAGGACGGCGCTGACAAAACTAAGAGATGAAGAAACCTGCAGAAATTTGAGGCATTATTTGCACTTATAGTTTCAGTTAAAATCCAACAAGCTTCTGCCACCAGCTTTTGGTGAGGAGTTTGGAATATCAAATGTCGTCAATTTTTTAATTCAGAGAATGCCAGATGAGTCTGTACAGGAGATTCCAAAAGTGTTTTCGTCTTGGCAATGTCTGAAGATTTGAATTGACTGTTGTGAATTCCAAACTCAAAACTCTCCGGTTGCTTCCTGATGATTAGTGTTCTTGACAAGCTCCCCCATTGTGCTTCAAGACCTGATCGGCTCTGCTATACAAGTCCTTTTGTTTTTTGTTTTTTTCTTTTCCCATTAAAAAAATGTCTTCTTCTTTCTTTTCCATTTTTCTCTGGGGATGGGGATGGTATAGATTGAATATGTCGGCTATTTTTATCCTGAATCGTTGTTGTCATATAATTTTCCATAACACTCATCCTCAGAAATGAATATTCAATAATGTATGTATTAATGTATTTGTCTGTACAACGAGAACTCGCAATTTATGTGTCTCACACCATTTGTAGTAGTTCTGATTCAGTTAGCCTTTTTAAAATGAATGTTAGTGTAATTATGTTAAAATTGTAGGATTAATTGTATTTTTTTTCCTTATTTTAAGAGTTATTAGTGTAATTTGTCCTATAATATAAAATAGATTTATCATTTTGAGATGAACTGTAAAATTTGAATGTTCTAGGTTCAACTCTAGTTGATGTTGCATCCAATTACAATTAATATACATGGTTTACATTATTTTTTTGAGGGTAATATTATATCAAAATTTATTACTAAATGATTAGGGTTGGTTTGGGGTGTCTTAAAAAAGTGTACTTTTTGTCTTTTTACGAAAAGATGTGCAGAAAAGTAAAAAGGTGATGTGATGAAAAAAAGATAAAAAAATGAATTATATAGGTTATGCCAAACCTAACCTTAATAAATAAAATGGACAAATTTATACAAAATCAATAATATATATAGTTTTAGCATTTACATATCTTGAAGTTATTGATCATGGAAAACCATGGTGATCTTGTGCACTATCATTCCCAATAAATTCATATAATAATTATCTTAAAGTTCTAAATCATGGTTGCATCTTGTGCATTGCCATTCCCAATATATTCTTAGAATAGCTTAAAATTCTTTTTGCAATATATCGGTGACCAAAATGCAACTTGCAATGCCACTTTTGTCAGAGACATCTGTCCAAGTGTCTGAATGTTTGTGAGATAGATACTTGTGGAGATAGGTGATTGTGTGTATATGAGTTTTTAGTCATATTTGGTAGAATTTATTGTATTTACTAGTTTATTGTACTTTTTTCAAAGTCCTTATTACAGTGTTTTATATAACTTATGATTAAAGTTTATTAGGTAAAAATGATTTGAATAAGTTTTTAAAAAAATAATTATCTAAAAGTTAATAAACGAATGCTTTTAGTTTATATTTTTTAATTGTCAATTTTTAATTTGAGAAAAAATATAGCAAATAGGCTCTTATTTTATAAGGTGTGTGTATCCAAACTCAAGTGTGTGACATCGTAAAGAGGTTTCTTCATATCAAAAAAATAAAAAATTAAATGAAAATGAAAAAGTGAAAAGAGTAATCTTGAAAAGAGATACATTCAAGTTACAAGTTGTTCTTTGAGAGGAATGCCTTCAATCCTAAGCGATTCTAGCTTGAAAATGGTAGAAAATGACAGGCCACATGATAACTGGCATAAAGGAGACAAAATGAGAGAGGGGGTACTGCTGCGCTTTTGTGGGAGGTCTTTTTGAGTATTTTTTAATTATTTGAATCGTTTATATTGTAAGATTTATTAAGAATATTATTTATTGAAAAGGCAGTAACTGTTGTGCCTTAAGACGCAACAATACCCTTTTTCTGACAAAATAACCATGCAAATAATTTTTTTTATCCTGGTAGAAAATGCCATTGATCGTAAACCATTAGGGTGTATTTGTGATAAGAAAAAATACATAAGAAACAAAACATATATATATATATATATATATTATGAATCACATAATAACTCGGAATCGTTTTCAAATTGTCATTTTTAAAAAATAAGGGTAAATTACAGTGAGATTTCTGTTTAATATAAATTATTCCTCTCATTTAAAAAATTATATTCTCCTCCCTAAGGTTTATAATCTTATTACAAATTACTTCTTGGATTGTTAATGACATGTCTTAAAATTTTTTAAATGACTATTTTGTCATTTTTCCTATCATTTATTTTTTCTATTATCATGACCATATTTTATAATTTTTTATCATTAAATTTTATCTGAATATATTTTTATTAAATGCTGATATACAAATATAAATTTTATATAGAATTTTCAAACACAATGATATAGTTTAGTGCTGACCTTTCACTTTAAAACAAAACATCCATAAATATGATTTATATTTACAACAATATCACTATCACAATATTTTTATGATATTTGTTGTATAAAATTTTATATATGAATATAATTTTTCATTTTTTTTTCCACCATTATATCTAGATTGGATCAATTTAATCTGGATATATTTAAAAAGTATAAAATTTGTATAAAAAACTTTTAAAAAATCCGTTAAATACAACAAAATAAGATAACGTCTTGAACTTTTGTATTTTTATTTTATTTTTTATATTTGGTGAATTTAAGATAAAAATCACAAAATATTATACTTTTTAAGTATGGCTAGATTAGGTGTATCTAAAAAATATTAAAATTGCTTAAAATATTAAAAAAATAGTAAAAATAAAAAAAATACGAAGCATAAAAAAACACAATTTTTTGTGTGAGTTAAATTCAAAAAGATGATTGTTATTTCTCTTAAAATGACATAAACAAATATTTGTAAAATTTTATTATTTTACATGTATAAAGGTTAAGAAACAAATTTGTTATTTTAATCTGACAATGAGGTAAATATAATTTTTTAAATGTAAAGATAAATCTATATTTAATAAAAACCTCATGGAGTGTCAGTGTAATTTACCTAAAAACGATGTCTATATTGCTGGGAACATAAATTTACACTATGCTATGTGAGTGTCATTAAAAAATTTAAGTTAATTAGACATTTATAAACATAAGATAAAATCTCAAATATTCTTAAAAACATTATCAAAATCATGTTAAACATTTATTTAAAAAAAAAAAACAAATATGGGCGTGTTATGAGACTATAGGTGTTCAATTAATTTAAACTTTTTATAAATTATTTATACGATGATATAAAATATTTAAATTATTAAAATAGGAGTCGAAACAAGTTCTTATTAAGTAGTATAGTAATCTCCCATCTTCTTTATTGTTAATTGTTAATTGTTGCTATCAATTTTCAAAATCAACTTATTTTCTTCATTTAAATGTAAAAATATCTATATGTGATTTGACAAATGAACGTGAAGAGATTAGTATAAATATCTATATGTATATATGATTTGACAAAGGAACGTAAAGAGATGTATAAATATCTATATGTATAAATGATTTGGACAAATGAACGTAAAGAGAATAGTGATAATTAGCATTCCAACCTTCAACGTCGACGTTTTCGTCTACGATGACATTCTTTGACAGCAAAATGGGCATTCAATTTTCAGTTGAAGGAGAATTTGAACCTGATAACATTTATGGTGATTTAAAAAGTTGGTTAAAAATTATTTTTAATTTTTTAATTTTATTTTATGTATAAAAAATATGAGAAATAATAATATAACTTAAAATAAATTAAAAATTAACTTTTAATTAACTTTCCAAATTACCCCTTAATCACATCCCATCCCATCCCATCCCACTGTCACTTTTGAGAATTGCCTGTTTGTGGTGCCAATTACACTTCACTCCCTTTAATTACGGATTATTATTATTTTATCTCACTTAACTAAAAATTACTATATTTTGTCATATTCTTATGTATTGTTTAATCTCAACATTTTATTACGAAAACACGACAAAAAAATAACATGTGAGCATCATATGTGAGAGAGATATATATATTTTATTTTTTTTTTGTTATTATTATTACTATTTTTATTTATTTATTTTTGTAATGTATTAGCCCAGAAAAAAAAAAAAATTGCATTTGAGGCAATTTCGAGCCTCAATTTCGAGGCCTCAATCATAGCTCGAATAAAATATATACATATACAGTGGTGTTTTGAAAAGTTGGTAAAAAATTAAGTTTTTGACTTTTTAAGTTTATTTTATTTTTTTGAGTAAAAAATGTAAAAAGTGATATGATCAAAAATGAATAAAAAACTAAAAACTGACTTTTTTTTTTTTTGTTTTGTTTCCCAAAAGACCAAATAATAAACAAACTATTTAATGAGTGTTTTGGACATAAAATGTATGACTCAAATTTCGTTGATTTTTTTCATAATGCGATGTTATTATAAGTTTAAAATTTAAACAAATTAAGAAATTAAAAAAGAAAAATGTATCAATTTTTAATTTAAGATGGTAAAGTTATAAATTTAAACAAATTAAGAAATTAAAAAAGAAAAATGTATCAATTTTTAATTTAAGATGGTAAAGTTATAATCAACAACCCATAGTTCGGTGATATAGTGTAATTTTTATACATAATTATTATTTTTGATAAAAAATCCTTATTAATGTGTCATCGAAATATAAAACTTAAAAAATTAAAATAACATCATTTTCAATAATATAATAAATGTCATTTTAGTAAGTATACAACCTTTTCAAAATTTATTAATTTATATATAACATTGTTTTATAAAAAATTATATACCGTCACTTATTTTATCATTATTATTTTAAAAATAATGCCCACCATTGTACAATATTAAATTGGTTAAAAAACTAATATTGATAGTACAAAATTACACAAAATCAGACTGCGTCAAAATCTTGCTCACAGTAGCCATATCTTCCATCATAATGGCAACTACCACATAAACAAAAGGATTTGGGGTCACTGCTGTGGCTAATGCACCGCAGTGACTGTTGTGTTACATTTTGTGATGTATTATGGGTTTATTTTTATGATCTGAACCGTCATTTTGTAAGATTTGTTGAGTACTTTAAGCCCACCAAAAATCATATTAATCGGATATCAACAATTATATGATCAAATTGCATATTTTTACACTATTTTTCAAAAGAAAAACTTCTTGTTTATTTTTTTGGTTATCAATCATATAGTTATTGGTATCCGATTAATATGATTTTTGGTAGGCTTGAAGTACTCAACAAACCCTACAAAATGAACGGTTCAGATTATAAAAATAATCTCATAATACATCACAAAATATAACACAACAGTCACTGCTGTGCATTAGCTACAGCAGTGACCCCAAATCCTAAACAAAATTACTCATTTACGATGCAAAATGGTTACCAGTCAACTTCATATTTTGTTACAAAAATTGAGTCGCATGTTGCACGTGCCACACATGGGGGTATTGTGGTAATATAATTACTTACAAAAACTTCCTATTAAGCATTTGTAAACATTTGGTATAATGAAATAGATTGAGCCTCTGTTTGAGAAGAGGTTTTTTTGGGTCTTTTTTGGTTAAAATAATTATAAAAGACAAAATAAGTTATTTTAGGCACAACAAACAAAACATCACATTCAATTCATAATCATTATACTATTCTCTCACAAAAAAAAGTCAAAAAACCTTTCTTAAACCAAGCTTTTTAGGCCAAGCTAAAATAGTCAAAAAAGCTAAAAAGCCAAAAAGTCAACTCACTTTCCAAACGAAACCTGAAATTAATATATGTTCTAGTTTTGTATTTTATTTTATTTTTTTTCTCTTGGTAAGCCTTATTGGAATAATTGTTATAATAGGAAATAAGAATGCATATTTATTCTTCTAAGCCAAATAAATGATTTTGTAATTTATTATAAAATCACTTTAAAAAATGTTACATTTTCTTTTTGCCACCATTATTATCACTATAACTATTACTCGAATCAATAAAAATTATATAAGTTTTTATAGTTGTTATTAGCATAGAGCGACTAACTTTATTGTCATATTTGCCTAACACCATCATAATAGCTCTCGTGCATACAACTAACTTACTTTCGTGTGCAGCTTGACCACCAATCACCAAAATAACCATATTATCTGCTCATCTAAAAATGTTTACACTCTTGCCCTCTCTAATAACGCTACCAATTTTGTTATTATTATAGTTGTCCTATCCCTTTAATACCTTATCTATTCACTTATAAATATTATTTTTCCAGACACATATCTTCAAAGCTAGTAGAGTTAGAGTTTAAGGATTATTTTTGTTATATTACAAAATTAAATAAAAAATTTAAAATAAATAAATGGTAAAAAGGTAATTGAATTAAATATTTTACATCATATAATTAAAAAATGTCTTATTAAGAGGGCTTAGAAATGTTACATTATTTAGCCTGTGTTTGGCAAGTGAGTTTACAGGTTTTTTTGGCTATTTTAGCCACAAAAAACAAAATAGGCTATTTTAGCCACAACAAACAAAATATCACATCCAACCCATAATCATTACATTCTTCTCTCACAAAAAAACTCAAAAAAGTCAAAAAGTCAAAAAGCCCTTCCCAAACCAAGCTTTTAAGCCCAGGCTAAAATAGCCAAAATAGCCAAAAAGTTAAAAAGCCAACCCATTTCCCAAACGGAGGCTTAATACACTCACTTTTATGCAGAAATGTAATCCTAAAAAAAAAAAAATAATAACTCATTCACAACTACTTTGAACGTTGGAGAGAAATTGATATAATTACTTCAAAATTAAGGGATTATCTATAATTTTCCCAATCTAGGAAGTCACTTTTGCCATTATATATATATATATATATATTTTCTTAATATTTTAGATAACCCACTCTTAAACTTTATTGATTTATTAATTACCACCCTGGTTTTAACAAAGCAGTTCTGCTTCGCAAGCTGGCTTCGTTGATTTGATCTCTCTCTCTCTCTCTCTTCAATCCTTTTGACAATCAAGAAACTTCCCTCGAGGTTTTCCAGGCCATTTTCTAGGGTTTTCGTTCCCATTTTCTCTCTCTCTCACCTCTCATTCAAAACACGTACATCTATATCTACACAAAGTTTCGCCCTTTTCACCTCTGTTTCATTCTGGGTTTTCAAGGGTTTCAATCCAGACTTCGTCAGATGCAATCTTTTCTTGATACCAACGCTTGGGTGTAATGACTTTTGTCATCAGTGAATGGCGGCGATTCTCCATTTCCTCATACTGGTAACTTTCATTTCAAACCCTAGTTCTTTGTTCAATCTCGTATCGGCTTCGCACGACGATTTCTCGATAATCGGCGTCGATTCGGAGCTGTTGCACCAGGATTACGCTCCGCCAGCTCCGCCTCCTCCGCCGCCGCACCCTCCGTCGGTGTCATGCGAGGACGATCTCGGTGGTATTGGGTCTCTAGACACTACTTGCCAAATAGTATCTGATTTGAACCTAACAGGAAATGTGTATATACAAGGAAAGGGCAATTTTTACATCCTTTCTCGTAGGAATGTTAATTGTTTGGTTTCTGGGTGTGAAATTACTATAAATATTACTGGTAATTTTAGTTTGGGTGAGAATGGTACGATTGTGGCCGGAACATTTGAGTTGGCTGCATATAATGCAAGTTTTGGTAATGGGTCTTTGGTGAATACTACTGGGTTGGCTGGTTCTCCTCCTCCGCAAACTAGTGGGACACCGCAGGGGATTGATGGGGCGGGTGGGGGGCACGGGGGAAGAGGGGCTGCTTGTTTGACTGATCAGGAGAAGCTCCAAGAAGATGTTTGGGGCGGTGATGCGTATTCTTGGTCATCGTTGCAGAAGCCGTGCAGTTATGGTAGTAAGGGCGGGACAACGAGCAAAGAGGTGGATTATGGTGGAGGTGGCGGTGGAAGGATTAAGTTGGAGGTTGTGACCTTTCTTGAGGTGAATGGTAGCTTGATGGCTGATGGGGGTGATGGGGGTCCCAGGGGTGGAGGTGGGTCTGGTGGCAGCATCTTCATCAAGACTCGTAAGATGTAAATTCCTCACCTTTGCATATTGCCCAGTTACTCAATTTAGCTCAATAATCTTTGTGGATTGAACTCTGCTGCTATGAAAATAATGAATTTGTGTTGCATCCCTTGATGCCTTCCTTATAAAATTCTTATTTATAATAAGAAACGAATTCATAATTATCTCTCTTTATTTCAATATTATGTTAGCATATGGTTGTTTGTGTTATATTAGAGTTGCGTGCTTCTGTTGGAATCATGTGGTAGATTGTATTTTCATATCTCCAATGGGTGAATTCCATTTTCAACATAACAAAAAAATTGTATTAAAATTCTAATGAACTTCGTATTGTGTAAAGGATTGTATGCTGTGATACAAGTGTATGCGGTCCTTAAAATATTTTGGTCTTCTTCATGGAGGCATTTGATTATACTAACCTTGTGGTGGAGAAAACAGTTTACAATAAAGTTTACGGCCTCGAGATCACATCTAGGTATCTCTACGATATACTTTATTCTTAGAATTCTAGTATTATAGGTTTGTAGCTAAGAAGGTTGAGATGATGGAAGAGGTTTCTCTGTAGATAAAGATAATCTTGAGAAGGTTGTGTTGGATTGGTGGTACAAGGAGTGATTAGTAGAGAAATAAAGCTGTTAGGTGAGGTTTCTCCACCCTTTGATTTGGAACTGCTTCTTGGGTTGTCTTTTAAATGTAAAGTTTGTTGCGAAGTGGTGGTAGAAAGGTCTAAGAAGTGGTGGGCTTGTTGGAAGATATTGTATTCTCCCAAGGCAGGGAGAATTACTATGATTTCGACATTATTATTATTCGGCCCTTTGAATGGTTTCATGTATGTTTTTATTGTTTCATTGTGAATGGCGGTGAGGCTTGATTAGGCTTAAGAGGGAGTCCCTGGGGGTGGCGGATGGTTGGTGATGAGTTTAAATATTATTTAGTTGATTAGAGATGATGCCATCACTGATAGAGGAAAGTGACCTCCTGTAATAGTGATTTTAGCCACTTCAATCAAGCCCTTTTTCAAAAGTGACCATATGGCATTTTTGAGGTGGACGGAATATATTCTTTGGAGATATTAGTGGTGTTGAACTACGACTTTGATAGATCTATTTAAAAGAAAAGGCTTTGGTGGAATAGATTGATCTTGTAGGGTGGTTGGAGGCTCTTATGTGATGGGCTTGTGAAATACATGAATTTAATGGTGGGAAAAGGATGGAGGGTTAGGTTTTGGTATGGAATTTAGTGTGGGGACTGACATAGGGAAAATGCAATATACACTCTCCTACAAACTAGAGTACCAAAATTAACGTGAGGCATAGAGGTAGCATGCAAAGATTTCTTTTGAGGATAATTTTAGGGTTTTAGGGGTTTGAAAACGGAGTAGGAAAGGGGTAGGGGTTTGGAGTCTTAACGAAGCAAGAAAAGAGGAAATTTGGAGGTTGCTGTGAACAATACCCATGGAAAGTATAAGGGGCTGGTTTGAGTTGTTTTATGTGATACAGTTGATTGTTTGAACGGTTTAGGTTTGTAAAGTACGGTATAAAAATTTGAAATAAGTGAATTAAACTTAACTATGGAGATTGATTTATACACTGTCTGAAGTGCAGCATTTCTTTTAATCTGCTCTAAACCTGTTGGTTCCTGGGCAGAATTTATCATGCCAGAACTTTGTATCCTCCTTATTGCAATTCCTTGGTTTTGACTTTTGGTGCAGTATGTGCTCATTAGTTAAACCTTCATATATCTCGAGGGGTTGGTGTGGTGAGTGTTCTGATTGTCTACATATTTTGAGCATCATTTTGTTCAGCTGCTGCTGTTAGTTTATCTCTAAAAGGCATTGATGAGATTATGTGTGTTGAGAAGATCTACTGGATGAAGGTTAATGCCTAAAGTTGAATCAGCTTTTGTTATAATTTTCATATAATACCTAAAGGTGAAGCTGCTTTTGAGATATCCAACTTCTTGTGATACTAGCAATTCAGCAGTGGAACTTTCTGTACAATTCAGTTAAGAAGATTAAACTTTTACCCTTAGTTTGAAGAATAGGTTATGCTTCCAATCCAGCACTGTGATTTTCCTTTTCATTTGGAAACTTGTAGAACTCAGCATCTCACTATAAATTTATCGTTGCAGCACCTCAAACTAATTTGATTCAGTTTATAGTATAAAGAGACTACTGAGTTTTCATGAATGATGTAGTTTACAGACCATTAAAATAAAAGGGGGAATTTTAGCTACAAAAGTTACCTTCATTTTTAACAGCATATTTGTTGATTTTTTTTTTTAATTTCTAAAGAATGAAAGCTTCATACTTGCTCCAGAACTTTGAACCTTCTATTTCTTGCTTCCACTCTTGAAATTGCATCCATTTCATGCAATAAATTTGAACTCTTCGCATGCACTCAAGGACTTTGAGCTTCTTGGGCTCTGGCTATTCTTTGTTTCTCTCCACAAAAGCGGTTCCCTTTTATTGCTTCTTCTTAGATATGTAAAATATTAATACAATTACATGCATCTGTGTAATATTTGTACATATATATATATATATGCAAGATATATTCCAGATGATATGTTTCTTTTGATCATAAGTTCATATTAAACATGAGTTTGCTATATACTAGTTTCTACCTCAAGATACATGTTGTTATGCAAAATATGCTATATTGCAAATGCATATCTTGACATGATTTTAATACAAGTTTTTTCTTGTGAAGTGCAGGACTGGAGGTGGCAGGATAAGCGCTTGTGGGGGCAGTGGTTTCGCTGGTGGGGGTGGCGGAAGAGTCTCTGTTGATGTTTTCAGCAGGCATGATGACCCTAAAATCTTTGTTCATGGTGAGAAATAGTGGCTTCCTATTTTTATTTTCTGCTAAGTCAGGATTAGTTCTTTTGCTATTGTAACTTGGAAATAGATATTTGGGAATTGTTTTTTATCCCAGAAACAGAAAAAAGAGAATGACATAGGGCACGTGTTTAGTGAAAACAGTGTTTCTGAATCTGAAAATCTTTTTGAGAAAATTTCCGTAAAAAGTGCCAATTTTCAGGAAACTTTCTTAAGCTGTTTTCTAAGTTGTCAAAAGTCAGGGTTCACAAGAAAAAGAAACAATTCAGAAACAAAAAAGTAAATGATTCCAAACAGGCTTCAGCGCTGTCCTACGTCAGGGGAATTTTTAATTTATACATCTAAGGGGATGTAGTTCCTTTAAGCGGCTAATTGCTTATTATTTTGATTAATAGAGTACTCCACCCTAGTTACTCTTCTTCTCTCTCGCTGTGTGTGTTTGTGCGCACACGCGTGCAATCACATCCTTGTAATTTTTTTTCTTTCTTTTCTTTGGTTGTTGTTGGATAGACAAGGGCTCCATTTTTTTTACTATTACTAATCTTCTATTTTTTCTGTGTAAAACAAATAGGAGAACCCTTTTAACCTTTCACTCTTAAAGTATGCTTTATAGTCCTTGTTAGTGAATGCAAATTCTGAGCTACTGCCAGCTGTATTATCATATCTGCAGGAGGAGGAAGTTCTGGCTGCTCACAAAACTCAGGTGCTGCTGGGACCTTTTATGATACTGTTCCACGGAGCCTTATAGTTAGTAATCATAACATGTCAACAGATACAGACACACTTCTTATGGAATTTCCTCATCAGCCGCTTATGACAAATGTTTACATTCGAAATCATGCCAAGGCCACTGTGCCCCTGCTTTGGAGTCGAGTCCAGGCAAGTGGAATTCAAGTTCTTATTTTCCTCCTATGCCATGTGGACTCAAGAATGCATGTTGGTTGCAAGTGTATATTGGTACCATATTTGTCCTTCCAACCTTCAACATTAAGAGTTAGGGACATGATAAAATTGGTTATATTCGATAATCTTAGAAATATTGTCTGAATGTATGCATAATTTCTGGACCCAAATTAATTGATTCAATAAATATACAAATATAAATATACAACATTTAATAAATGGAAGTTTCAAAGGAAAGGAGTGAATGTTTTAAATTCATCAATAACCCCTTGAAAACTCAATGACGTATTTTTAAAAACTTTTTTAAAGCTCTTTTTGTCACATTTTAAGCAATGTTTTGATATATAGAAACACTTTTTACTTGTGGAATTTTTATAATATGACAAAATGGTAAAAAAAACTCATATTGAGGTTTGGAAGCGTATCTTATTATTATAAATGGGGATTTTTTTGTACCAAAAAAATCTGAAAATGGAATTTTTACAGGGATGATTCTTAGATGGATGGCCATTTGACATTAAACTATAAAATAAAATCCAAAGAAGAAAATTTATTGATCGCACATCAGTAGGTATAAAGTTATTTCTATTTTGTCTTCTCTATATAAATGTGCAAGTTGCGCAACCTTTTCTCAATCGCTAGCTGTCCTACATCGGTTATAAAGCCTTTGTGCTCCTACCACGTCCTTTATAAATATTAACCGTAGTTAGTTGCCTAACCTTTTCTCAATCGCTTGCTCCCCACATTGGTTGTAAAGCCTTTGTGCTCCTACCATGTGCTTTATAAATATTAGCAGTTGGTTGGTCCTGTGATAAAAAGCCAGCCACGTTGTCGTGTTTGCCAAAAAATGCTAATTTCTTTGTCAATGGAAGAGTTTTCTGACCTGAACAAGATAGTTGAAACGGACTGGTTTGTTGATGTATCATCTTCTAAATCCGGTTCTTAACGATTCACAACACGAACTTGACGGGTTTAGGAGCATTATAGATGCCTTTTGTGTACATGAAGATGTCACCCTTCAGTGCTTCTCAAATGAATGCTGTTGCAGCTATGTCTTACTACTTTTGTTGACACAACTTTGCAGTCATAACATATATTAATTCTGTGTGCGTGTGTTTTTTTTTAAAATTTTTTTTTGTCATTATTTTTTTTACTGAATATAGTTATATTGGCATATGAGGGTCTTACTCAGCCATCTTTTTGATGAACTATTTAGGTCCAAGGACAAATTAGTCTCTTGTGTGGTGGAGTGTTGAGCTTTGGGCTGGCACATTATGCTTTGTCAGAATTTGAATTATTGGCAGAGGAGCTCTTAATGAGTGAATCTGTAATTAAGGTAAGCTGCTGCTTTCTAGATTGTCCTGTTCAGTCCCTGGATTTATTCATGGGTAACCATATTTATGATGATTTGTGTGCAGTTTTTGTTCTGTTGACTATCTCATATAGTTTAGGTGCTTAATCAGGTGGTTTGACAAATCTATTACAGTTTTTATGTTTTATTGAAGTATCCATTGAAGTGTTTATATAGTTTTTAAGGTTTATTTCTGGATGCCCGTCCCTTCTAAATTTCATAATTTGGTAATCATGCACTATCTGATCACTGTGCCTTATAACTTCAGGTTTATGGAGCTCTACGTATGTCTGTAAAAATGTTCTTAATGTGGAATTCAACAATGCTTATAGATGGTGGTGGAGATGCAAATGTGGAGACATCTTTGGTTGAAGCTAGTAATCTAGTTGTTCTCAGGGTGCTGCAGTGATAAACCTTGACCATTGTGTATATTATGATACTCATCAGCATTCATTGATGACATGCTTTTCTATTTTTCTTTATCAGGAATCATCTATCATACATTCTAATGCAAACTTGGGAGTTCATGGACAAGGTTTGCTAAACCTATCAGGACCAGGAGATTGTATTGAGGCACAACGTCTAGTTTTGTCGCTGTTCTATAGTATCTATGTAAGTGGATATCTCATTATAATTGTTCATTTTTTATTGTTGTCTTTGAGGGTATTCAAAGCATTTAGTTCCCCCTCCCAGAATTACTGACTGGTTATGAATCTGTTCTTTTTTACTTTCTAATTTTTGTTAACATCATTTTTCATCTTAGTGTGCTCGCTTATTTTTCGATTTGTAGTTTAAGTAAGTTGAGTATGGGAAGCTTGACTGGCTACTGTTCTGTTTTCTTCTCAGTGAAGCTGACATGATCTTTGACTTGTCTCACTCAGTTGCTCATCCACTATAAGTTTCTACATTATTGTTTATTTAAAATGATTTTTCTTGGTAATTACAGTCAACTAAGGTCAATATCTTTCAATTGTTGTCAGTTCTCTGATGCGTAACTTGTCCTGATCTTAAGGCTTAAACTGATCAATGCTTTCATTTAATACAAATGCAGAGGCCTTATTGGCCCTTTTCACTCTCTAGGGGATTTGAAGTGCCTTTTCTTAACTATTAAGGCATTATTTGCTTCATATTTGATGGTCGTGTGAGCTTGATACTTCTTTTTGTCCACTGGTTAATTTTGTTTTATTATGAAATGGAAAGAGACTTTTGTGGCAGTGGCAGATTGGTGTAAATTGCTCAAATCCTAATGAGTTGTCAATGTCTTAATAAGAATCTAAGATGCGCACAATATACTATTTATTAATTAAAAAAAAAAGAAAGAGAAAGGATGTGGATAATATATTTTCTAGTTTGTTAATATTGAATTCCATGTATTGTACTGAATGAATCTCTCTTTTTTCCTTCGTTTTTCTTTTTTCCTCTTCTTAAATGAAGCTTGGACTTGGATCTGTTCTGCGAGGTCCTCTAGAAGATGCAAAAACTGATGCTGTGTAAGTTTGTCTTTGTTTCTTTTGATCTAAAACACTTATTCGATGCTGTTTTAATGATTTAGCTAAATACATATTTTAATGGATGTTAGGACTCCAAGGCTGAACTGTGAACTTCAAAGTTGCCCCATTGAACTACTTCATCCGCCTGAAGATTGCAATGTCAACTCTTCATTGTCCTTCACCCTTCAGGTGTTTGTCTAGTAAAAAATGTTTACTGATAGGGTTCGGTGTTTATTTATTTAGGCATTTTAACATCTTTATCCATCTGCTTCTTTAGATTTGCCGAGTTGAGGATATCCTTGTTGAAGGCCGTATAGAAGGATCCGTTGTTCATTTCCATAGGGCAAGAACTATAGCTATTGATTCTCTTGGAGCAATTAGTGCATCAGGAATGGGTATGTATTTTTTCTTTACTTAAAAGTTGCTGTTAAATAATATTTATCAAAAAAAGTTGCTGTTAAATAATGATTTATTGGCAGACTTCTGTGTTTGCTTCTCTCTGCAGTGCTGCGTAAACGGTGTGGTGTATTCTCTATTTTTTACACTTACTTCCTTGAAGGGGGAAAGAATCGTGTTTTCAAGTAAAGAGGAAAACAAATTGTCCTAAGAATGCATTATTGTGGCTTGAATTATATTTCAGATGATGTAATTTCGTTGTTGTGTTTGTACAGGTTGCACAGGTGGTGTGGGTAGAGGAAAAGTTTTAAGCAGTGGTCCCAGCAGCGGTGGGGGGCATGGTGGTATAGGTGGAGTAGGATGTTATAATGACACCTGCATTGAGGGTGGTATTGCATATGGAGATGCTGACTTACCTTGTGAACTTGGTAGTGGAAGTGGGAATGAAAGCTTAGCTGGTTCAACTGCTGGTGGTGGCATCATAGGTAAGATGAATGTGCTATGTCCTTTTAAAATACCATTCTTCCTTCAATATTCTTAAATAGTTTGATACCCTTTGGTGATTTATTTTATAAATAGCATAATGTATAGAATTGAAGAACATTGTTAAAACAGGCACAACCTTTGCTCAAAAAGTGCGGACGAAAAGAAAATTGAGTTTATAGTTACTTTAAAATCCATCATATATGAAGGTTATTTGCTTTGTCATTTTCAATTTAACTGTCTTTTGTTTTATTCCTTGTGTTTTTTTGTTTAATGCAGTGATGGGTTCAAGGGAGCATCCCTTGTTGAGCTTATCTGTTGAAGGTTCAGTTGCCTCAAATGGAGAAACTTATGGAGAAAATAATAGGAAGAAACATGACAGTACCATAGATGTTTTGAGTGAAGGTCCTGGTGGTGGATCTGGTGGAACTATTCTTATGTTTTTACGTTCACTAGTTGTCAGTGAGTCTGGTGTGCTTTCCAGTGCTGGCGGCCATGGGAGTCAGAATTGTGGTGGTGGAGGCGGTGGACGGATTCACTTCCATTGGGCAGACATTCCCACTGGAGATGTGTACCAGCCAATAGCTAGTGTAGAAGGAAACATCCATACCAGGTTGTGCAAATATTAAATTTTTGTTTCACATTTTTTAAAAGATTATTCTGCGAAGTCTCTTGGTTTATTTTCGACTCATCAATGTCTCATGAGTTTTATATTAAGAAGAGCGTAAGCTTGTTTGTCATGACCTTGAATTCTGTTTAAATTTATGCTCTTCATGTTATGGATAAATTATGTTCATTATCATGTCGAATTTGATACTCAAAGTGGTAAAGTGGTTCACTTTTGTTTATTGGCTAGGAGATACTTAAATGGAGTCTAAGGATGAAGTGATGGAATATCTAAAACTTTTTTGGGCTTTAATTGGAGATATTGCACCAAACAAGCTGGTCCAAACTTAGTTGGCATTGGCCCATTGAAAGCATAAATAGAGAACTTGAGTTTGTTTGACCAGAGAAACTAAAAGAAGCAAATTAAAGGAATGTGGAAAAACAGACTGGTTAAAGTGGTTCACCCATTAAATTACACACTCCATGGGTGGGATATTTCATTCTTGTATGTGGATTTTTCCCGCGTAACCCACAACAAAAGCATCCAAACCAATGGCCTAAAAGAGAATGGAATTCCAAATAATCCTGTAATGTAAGTTCTCAGTTTTTTATTTGATTTTGTGATGTTTGTATTTGTGAAAGTTGAAATTTCCCAACTGAAGTTGGTTTGTGCTGCTGTGTGTGGTTTTATTGTAACAGTGAGAACTTCAATATAGGTAAATTTCTATGCTACCCACCCCCTTTTGAGTAATTTAACTTGTCATGGAAACCCGTGAATAACTTCAGTTGCTATCTTGAATGTCCAACCCACACAAATTTTTTTGGGGTTTGGACTTTATGCATCCTGATCCAATCTCAAATTGATCCACAGAATCCTCTTTGCTCGTCACAGTATCATACAGCTTTGGAAGTTCTGCATTAGAAATATGCTTCCCCACCTAAAACATATTCCTGGTCAAGTTGCCATAAGACCTTAGATTTTGGCTAACTTGCTGATATCCTCAGCCCTGTTGTTGGAATGGCATCAAAATGGTCTGAGGGGTGGTAGAACACATATTTCTCCGTACTGTGTAGGATCAAGGTTATACACTTGTACTAGTTAGTTTGACTAATTCCATGTATTTTCTTCTTTATTTGGTAGTGTTGGGTAACGTCGCTTCTAGGATTAAAATGATCAAAATGAAGCCTTTCTGGTTTATACAAGGGATTCCACAAGAGTCCAATTGGTGAGAGATTGGAAAGTATTTACATGAAAACATATATGCGTATCTATGTTGGATGAGTGGCAGTTTGGGATTGAGGAATGTGATGTTGAAGAACAGTTCCATAAATGGAAACTGGTTTAAATGGGAATCCTATGGAGCAATGTGCAGTATGGCACTTAAGTTGTCAAATGTAAGTTTGGCCTTCAGGATACAATTATGATGCTATATGGCTATTGGTTATGGGATCATTGCGTATGAGAGGACTTTTGCTAGGGAGAGTGTTCGTTGGAAGTTTGCAAGTTACTAACAAAAATCTCAAGGAAGACTTAAATTTAATACGGTTACATGCACATCAAAATGCTTATACAAGGACTTAAACCTTAAATGTACCAGGTGACCTCACAGCACTACAAGCAACAAAGAAAGAACTTATGTTATGTGCTAGAAACAGTGGTAAAATGTTTTGCTAACATGGTTTTACGTTAAATCTTCTTTATTGGGGGTTCACATTTTAATCTACACTTCTATTTGATTTTGGTTCATCTCTGACATGAAAAGTAACATCTAATCCTCAATTATGATGAATCTTGGGAAGTCCATGAGAAGTGAAATGGAATACGAAGATTTGTGAGCAGGGAACCATTTACATGATCTGATAGATTGTCAGGCCCTACAATGAAAACAGTTCTTCTCCCACCATCTTAATGTGCCTGTTTGGCAGAGCTTAATTACAGCTTATTTCAGCTTTCAGCTTAATTTAAGCTATTTTAATGTGTTTAGTTTAGCTTATAGCTTATAGCTTTTTGGAAGTCAGAAATCAGCTTATTCTTTGAGTGGGGCAGGAGATGCTTTAAGAATAAGCTGGAAATCAGCTTAAGCTGAAAGTTATAAGCTATAAGCTGTTGAGGCATAAGGTATAAGCACTTTCCCACAGCTCTACCAAACAGGGCCAATATACGCTTCTCCAACTTCAGTGCTTTAGGGTCAAAATATATACTATTCATCCCTCTTTCTTTTTTACTTTGATACTTTAGAGATCTCTAGAGTCTTCTTCAAGAGAAAAAAAAGTTATGTGTGTGTGCTAGTTTACACCAAGTCGGAAACTTCTTTTTATTATTAAAAAAAAGATCATGTTCCCATTTTTGGCAGCCAGCTTATTTTTTGCGCGAAGAGGTCTTGCAGTTTGACTTTTGAGGTGTAATAAAAAAAAACTCATGCTCCCATTGTATCTTAGCATTTTGACTTTTACCTTACCTCAAAACGATACCAAACGCACCCAACATATCTTGTTTGAAGAGACAATAATAATAAATTGTGATTTCATAATGCTTGGGTTCTACTTCGTAGTTTGAAAGTTAATATTCTCCAGTAACATTTGGATGTTTTCTTCTATTACTGTAGGGGAGGTCTAGGTAGAGACCAGGGTGGTGCAGGGGAAAATGGAACAGTGACTGGAAAAGCTTGCCCAAAAGGGCTTTATGGGACATTCTGTGAGGTAGGTTTTAATAATTTTTTACTTCTTTCGAGTTCCTATAGTATTTGTTTGTCATAAGCAGCGTGACTTTGAGGTATTGTGGATGCAATGTATAGCCTTTTTAGCTTCTTGCAACTTTTCTTCCTTCAAATTGGACATGGGGTTGGAAATTGAGTTAACTTCAAGCCAGCTTGAATTGAAATTATCTTTTGTCATTTCATGCAACTTTGCCTATTTACGTCATCCATCCATACTCCTTATTTGTCTCAGAGATTGAATATTTCATGGGAACCTGAAACCTTTGCATAAATGACTCCTAAATATGATATTTGTTGAAGTTGTATGCTAATTGTTTTTTTTTCTTTTTAAGCTACAAATAAGTAGGTTGAGTAGGGACTACTGTTAGGATAGCTATTTCCAGATCTTATTATAGTTACTAGAATTTGTGTTTTACAAGGCTTACATTTCTACAGGAGTGTCCAGCTGGCACTTACAAGAATGATACAGGATCTGATAAAGCCCTTTGTCGTCAATGCCCAGCATCTGAGCTTCCCCATCGAGCTGTTTACATTGTCGTCCGAGGTATCTCTAGATTAGTGGTGTGCATAGTGTTTAATGCTATGTCGTCTTCAAAAATATTGTTACCGTACACACTTGCAACAATTTTACCTAGCACCGTATTTGTACTATATATATAAATCTTTTTATTACACCGTTTTGGTTTCATCATTGTGGAAAAGATGGTGCTTGTGATCTAATCTTTGAATCATCACTCGCCCTTGTTAACAGGTGGTATTGCTGAAACACCTTGTCCTTATGAATGCATTTCAGACAGATATCACATACCGCACTGTTATACAGCTCTTGAAGAATTGATGTACACATTTGGTGGGCCTTGGGTATTTGGCTTTCTTCTTGTGGGCCTCCTGGTCCTGTTAGCTCTGGTGCTTAGTGTTGCACGAATGAAATTTGTTGGTGTTGATGAATTACCAGGCCCAGCTCCGACACAACATGGCTCTCAGATAGATCAGTCTTTCCCTTTCCTGGAGTCATTGAATGAGGTTTTCCTCCAACTATTCTTGCATTGTTAAATTTCTTCAACATACTAATATTCGCAGAGTTTGTAAGGCAGTTATTTTAATTCAGTTCTGTTGCCACACCCCCATCCCTTATTTCTTTTCCTTTTTCCTCTCACCATGTTCATTGGAAAGTAGTGATGTAGTGTCTGACTTTCAGGTTTTGGAAACAAACAGAAATGAAGAGTCGCAGAGTCATGTGCATAGAATGTACTTTATGGGACCAAATACCTTTAGTGAACCTTGGCATCTTCCTCATACTCCTCCAGAACAAGTAAAAGAGATAGTGTAAGTTATTTTTTCCCCCTATGTTATTGGTTGCCTTTCCCGTGCTGATAAGATGGATTTGTAACAAACAGCTATGGTTATAGGCTGTGTCCATGTTTTAGTTTTTTTTTTATTTCTTCTTACTAATTATATTAAAGAGTGGTGAAACTCTTTTTAATAAGAAATTAAATTTGCAGGTATGAGGGTGAATTCAATGGATTTGTGGATGAGATTAATGCAATTGCTTCTTACCAGTGGTGGGAGGGATCGTTATACAGCATTCTTTGTATTCTTGCATATCCTCTTGCATGGTCATGGCTGCAATGGCGCCGGAGAATCAAGTTACAACGACTCCGTGAATTCGTCAGATCAGAATATGACCATGCCTGCTTGCGTTCTTGTCGCTCACGTGCCCTCTATGAAGGGCTCAAGGTTTGTTTTTGTTGAAGTTTTATACTTTTGTTCTTCATTTTATTCACTATTGTCAATTTTCCTGATTATGATTGGAAATATCAAGTTTCCTAGTTGAATTTTGTTCTATGGACTGGTTAATTTTTTTTAATACATCAATGCTTTAATATTCTGCATATTATCAAATTAAATTGGATAGGGAGGTCTTCTTCTAATGGCATGCACTTACTGTTGAAACCTATTGCTGTAATGTCTTTCACATCTTTTAATGTGTATTTATTTCCATAATCAATTTACTGCTGAATTTGACAAAAATAGCATGTGGGACAATGAAATTCAGAAACTTCTGAAGCTTGGATTTGTTTGTCTATATCACTGTAGGTAGCCGCAACATCTGATCTAATGCTAGCATTTGTGGACTTTTTTCTTGGTGGAGATGAAAAGCGAACTGATCTTCCTCCTCGCCTTCATCAAAGGTTTCCTATCTTCTTGCTTTTTGGAGGAGATGGAAGTTACATGGCTCCTTTCTCACTTCAAAGTGATAATATTATCACTAGTCTCATGAGCCAGGTTTGTTATTTGTTGCCAAGGGTGGAGTCTTTGAGTTTGATATTGTTTCACTAAATGTGCCTTTTCCTTAAGATCTAATATATTCAATAAATTTTTCTATTGGTCTGCTTTCACTTTCAGTCTGTGCCACCTACTACTTGGTATCGCTTTGTGGCTGGTTTAAATGCACAACTGCGCTTAGTATGTCGGGGACGTCTTAAAGTAATGTTTCGGCCTGTCCTTAGATGGCTTGAAACTCATGCCAATCCTGCTTTGAGGATCCATGGTGTGCGTGTTGATCTTGCATGGTTTCAAGCTACAACTTCTGGCTATTGTCAATATGGACTTCTGGTACATGCTGTTGAAGAAGAAATTGAGCATGCTTCCTTTGATAGAAGTGCTGGAGCAACAAGAACAGAACAACAATCTCGGTAATAATTTGTGATACATAACATGCACGGTGCACCTAAATGTTGGGTACATTTTCACATTTATCTGTATCTGTACATATGTTTATATGCATTTATGCATGTATATGTAGTAGAAGCTTCCATCAAAGTATCATAGGTTTTATTTTGAAAGGAGGCGTCCTAGAAGCCTCAAGAGTGGCATAAAAAGATTTCACACTGAACTGGATGGATCTCAACCATCATACTGAGTCGCTACCATCATCAATATGATTCGCGTAAAAACGATGCCTAAGAAGATCCAATGTCTGATTTGGGTATAGTCAATACCCTTGTGTTGACATGGATGGGTTACCTTATTGCCCTTGGGAAATACGGCTTTATTCTTGAATCTGCTGCATACCACCCGCGAGTTGGTTTATGCTTAGTTGCATGAAGTGGGTCAAGAATGTGTGCAGGTGCGGGATGTAGGACAAGTTTCTGAGGTTGGTAGCGTCTCTGGGAGCATGTATGTGTTTAATATATTACATATATAGATATATTCTAGCATTTTTTTGCTTAGTTGTAATATCTGTTTTAAAATATGAATAAATATTAGAGATTGATGTTAACTACAAATTGACTTCGTTAAGTATAAATAAATATCGTGTAAATAGAGACTACTAGAGTAAGTTTTGAGTTGTTTTTGTTTTTGTTTATGTGAGATTGTGAGAGGTTCTATCTCAATTGGAAGCGAGTTTGTTCCTAGATATGAGTGAATTTCTTACTTGAGAGTGCAGAATCATGTTTCAAAGTAAGAAACGTCACCCAAGTAGGAGGTTCTTGCTTCTAAGGGACACTGTGCCCATAGTCAACCAAAAAGTAGTGCTGTTATGCATCCTACTATGGTATGTAGGAATACATTCTATGTCATTTTTTTCCATCGTGTGCATGTGATTTTACAATACACAACTTCACAAATTGACTAACAGAACCATAGAAAGTCAAAAAGTGGATATTGTGTAAGATGAAGAAATACTATCATTTATGTGGAAGCACAAGAGTTGATGCTAGAAAAAGAAAAAGTAAAAAGTAGTCACATGTTGCTCACATGGAAGCTTGATGATTCATGTTTCATGTTTCATGCACATGCGCATGTACTTGCCCACAAACATTTGGAACTAACTGTATTGAGTTATGTTTTATTTTATACCTAATATAGTTTTTGTAGTTCAAGCAGCATTGGTAAGGAAAATCCACTGGATCATCAGAGAGAAGAGATGCTCTTAAGCCAAAGCCATAGAAGCAGTGAAAATCTCTCAAAGCAGATGAAGATTTACGGTGGGATTGTAGATACTAACAGCGTAAACATGATTGAGGAGAAGAATATATACTACCCGTTCTCTTTTATAATGCATAACACTAAACCAGTTGGACACCAGGTAGTGTTCTAATTTGTGTGGGTGTGTTTCTAGTTAAAATATATTAGAGGTTTTATATTGTGAACATGTTTATGGCTTCTTGTAGGATCTTGTTGGTTTGGTCATCTCAATGCTCCTTCTAGGAGACTTCAGTTTAGTTTTGCTGACTTTGCTCCAGTTGTATTCAATTTCATTGGTGGCCGTCTTTCTAGTTTTGTTCATTTTACCGCTTGGGATTTTACTTCCCTTCCCTGCTGGCATCAATGCTCTTTTCAGTAGTGGGCCTAGACGGTCTGCTGGTCTTGCACGCGTTTATGCTTTGTGGAACCTTATGTCCTTGGTTAACGTCGTAAGTTGCTATATTACCATGCTTATATATGGCTCCAATCGTTCAACTGAATTCTGCTGATCCTTGTTTTTTCAGTAATCACTGTATTTAATGCTTGCCTTTTCTATTCCTTAATGATGAATTTCTGAAGTCTAATGGTCTATAATATGTTTGGGCTCTTAGGAAATGCCAGACTGGCAGATATTTTTACGATTGATAATGAATTTTATTTTACATATTTTTCTTTCATTCCATTATTCATCTGAGATGCCAAATGAATAGTTCAAAGTTTTTTGATTAGTTACAAGCACAAGCTTATCGGTTGTATTACTTTTTTAGTGTGTGACATTCTGTAATGGTCTTGCACTCTCGTCTCAGGTGGTTGCATTTGTTTGTGGTTATTTTCACTATAACACTCAGTCAAGTAAAAGAGTTCCGAGCATTCAACCATGGAATTTTAGCATGTGAGAATATTCTTTTGATCCTCTTGTGGTGGGAAAAAAAAAGAAAGTACTTATTTACGAGATACTGAAATAGAGCATATTTTCTTGTGGGTACAGGGATGAGAGTGAATGGTGGATTTTTCCTCTTGGACTGGTTTTGTGTAAATGCACCCAATCCCGCCTTATTAATTGGCACGTCGCAAATTTGGAGATTCAAGATCGTTCGTTGTATAGTAACAACTTCGAGCTGTTCTGGCAGTCGTGATTTTTATCAAGCAAACATCTCCGAGTACACAACTACAACTATTTTTGCTTTTTTTCTAAAATTTATTATGCTTTCCTTTTTGTAAGCTATTAGAGAGAGAGAGAGAGAGAGTAGGTGAATGATTGACATAGTTGGGAGAATATAGAAAGAGATAGATAGATAGAATGAGAGGTATTATTCATTCATGTAACCCCCCCCCTCCTTTTGAATTATGCGTAGCCAAAGCCAGTAGTTTCTATGCTCCAATGTAAATATATTCAAGTGGGATATATATATATATATATGCCCATATGCTTTTGAAATTCATTAAAATTTTCTTCTCTACTAGTTCGGACCCAACGTTTTGTCAATCTGTATACATATTCTTATGTGAATGAATACAAATTGAGATGCGTTTTATTTGATTGTTAGTTCAAGGCAATTTTAGGGCTAGAGACTGAGGCCTTTACTGAAACTGTATTTTATATGTTGTGCTAAATTTGGTGTCTATCGGACTGGTTTTGATCACTTTTTCTTCCCTATATATGGTTTTTATGCAAAAAAAAAAAAAAAAAAAAAATAAATAAAGTCGTGAATTGTGAAACACTAATGAATGGACACAATCAGGTGATGTTCTTGACTCGTCATTAACGTTTAGAGAGAGTATCAAATGTGTTGATGCTCACAAATTGTTTGTAGCTAAATCTCAGGGTTGTGTTTGGATCATGTGATATGGTGAGAAATGATAAGAAATGAAGTGAGAGATAAAACTTTTTCATGTCTAGTTTATGATTTAAAAATAATAATGATAATAGTGAGAAATGGAAGGAAAGGGCTCTCTTATTTTATAGCTTTTGATTTATTTTATTTATCAAAGTAGTGAGATTTGGTGATAAACAAGTTGATTGGTTATTAAAATATAAAGGGAGAAAAATAAATCTCACTCATCTAATGTCACCTATTTCTTTTTTTTGCATTTTTTTTTTTTTGGTTTGTTGTTGAATCACTTCGTTTGCTTGTGACAATAAGAAAACATAGTTATTTTTTAAATGAAAAATTATAATTTTTTGTTGAGTTTGGTTAATGAGTGTCTTAAAGTATTGATTAATAATGTTTAAATTAATTATATATTACATATTATACACACTCTTATACTATTATGAATAAGCATTTTAAACTTCTTATCAAGTACTTTAAAAATAATCATTAACAAAATCTTTATTTTCTTTTCTTCTCATCTCACGCGTGTTGATGTTCTTACATACTCTTCTTAACAATTCAATGCTGTTGATGTTTAGCAGACTAAGGGGTTATTTGAGATGTCCTAAATAAGTGTATTTTTTGATTTTTTAGACTAAAAAGTTGAAAAAAAAAATATGATTGTTTAAGTTAATTTTTTGACTTTTTATAGAAAAATATGTATTAAAAAATTGTATAAATTAATGTGTAGGAGAAAATTAAGATGGAGAGTTGTGCAGTCATACTTTTTGACTTTTGATAAATAGTAATAACTTTTTAACTTTTTGAGTAATTTTTTGACTTTTTGACTCTTTTTTAACTTGTCAAACTTACCTAAGGAAACTGTGAGCATTGAGGTTTTGTTTCCACGTATAATATTTGTCCTGTCGTTCAACAGAAAGTAAATAAAATATTTATTATAATTTTTTTAAAAATAATTCATTATTAAATGTTTTTAAAATCAAAGTTCACGTGTAGCTCTAGCCTCTCACCACATCAATCTTTCCAAAGGTGTAATGGTGGTCTTCATTAATTTTTGTCACAGCTTATGAAGAGCTGCCGAATTTGTCCAACTCGTACCGACCTGAATTGTCACGGATGATTTTGAAGAAACCGTCGGCTGCTGCGGTATTTCTCAAGTAAATTTTGGTCGCAAACGGATCACCCACATATATATATATATATATATATCCGATCAATCCGACCCGTGCTAATAAATTTGAAGCATATAAAATTTCTAGTGTTCTTGGAGTATGCGTGGACAGAGATTCTTCATAGTAGGGATGACAATCTGAATCCGAACCGACGAGGACCTGACCCCGAATTGAGCAGGGTTTTTCTCGAAAAATACTGTTGGCGGGCCAGGAATGGTATTCAAAATCAATTCCTAGTAATATTTAGGCTGGGGACGGTGATACATTTATAAGCCCCGGTCCTAGTCCCGGGAGAGCTTCTATTTGCACACACCCAATCCACTGTATGCATACACTTAATGATATTTATTTTTATTACATTTTTATCCCTAAGTGAAATTACTATTTTGGACATCATACACAATTCAAATAAACAAACGTTCTCATTGCACATCCAAACTCCACATTCACATCACGTTGAAGCTGTTGAAGCTCCAAGTCCATTGTAGCTACTCCTTCCATTGAAGCTGTTGAAGCTCTAAGTCCATTCGTAGCTTTCCATTAGTTTACATACTAACCTCATCCTCATTCATCATTGTTATGGAAGATTTCTCTTTTGAAAATTCAAATTTTCAGAAGCAAATAAATGTTTATGAGAAAGATAGCCAATGAAATGTGAATTTTGCAATGTAAAAGTCATTTTTTTTTTCTTTTTTTCAACGTCTTTCGAATAACTAGGGTCGAAATATATCAGTTTGTTTGGCAGTCTACTACCGAAATAATTATGTAATTTCGAAAGTTATTGGCCGAAATAATTTAAATTTTACGACATTCAACTTCCGAAATAGTAAAAATAATTCAGACAACTACATTCGAACATTAGCATTTTTTTCGACAATGTACTTTCAAATGAAGTAAATTTTTTTTTTCCCATTTTATATTCCAAATTTGTAAAGTGCATGCTAAATTTACAGTTTCGAATTGCAAATTTATCTTTATAATGCCATTTCAAATTTGTAATATTATACAAAACATGTAGGAATATGTGTCAACTCAAGGAAATCAGGTTTGCGTGGATAGTGTGTTGGATTGCACTACTCAATTCACAACTAAACAGGTTCACTCTACGAAATTATAATGATTATGTTTTGAATTGCTCAACAAATGTAAATGTTTGATAATATTTAATTGACTTTGTAGGTATTCAAAAGTAATGATGAATTGCTCAACTGGGTACGTAAAGTTGGAAAGAGAAATGGTTTGGTCATTGTAATCAACATATTAGACTATGGTGGAGGGAAAAAGAGGCCCAGGATGTATCTTGCTAGTGAGAGGAGTGGCCAATATAGAGCGACAAAGAAGTTAAAATATGATGGCAACAATATATCAAGAATAATCGGTACGAAGAAGTGTGGTTGTCCTCTTGATATGAGGGCTAACAGGTTTACCACACACGATAAATGGACATTGACCGTAATATGCTGATTGCATAACTACCCACCTGTGGAGCACCTTGAGGGACATTCATATGCGGGGAGGCTGTCAAAGAATGAGAAATCATTGGTAATGGATATGTCAAAGAGCATGGTTAGGCCAAAAGAAATCCAAGTAACCTTGAAACAGTGAGATGCCCTCAATGTAAGTACACTTAAAACCATTTACAATGTACGCCATCGAAACAAGGTAGTACAGAGAGCTGGAAGATCACAAATGCAACACTTATTGGGTGAATTGGCCAAGTATAATTACATTGAGCGCCATCAATGTGAAGAGTCCACGATGACTATGATAAACTTGTTTTGGGCACATCCTACCAGTTTGGACTTATTTCGGTCTTTCCCACGTATATTAATTATGGATTGCACATATAAAACCAACAGATATCGTCTTTCTCTTCTTGAAATTGTGGGAGTGACATAAACTGAAATGACTTTCTCTATAGCTTTCACATACTTACAGTATGAGAGTATCGATAACTATGCGTGAGTGTTAGCTACATTGCGTGATGTAATGGAAGGTTTTGTTTTGCCAGCGATTATTGTCACTGACAGAGAGCTAGCCTTGATGAATGCCATACAGAAGATATTCCCGAGTGGCAGACATTTATTAAGTCATTGGCATATTAGTAAGAATGTATTGACCAAATGCAAGAGAATGTTTGAGACACAATAGAAATGAGAGAAGTTCAACCATGAGTGGAACTCTTTAGTGTATTCATTTTTTGAAATTCAATACGATGAGCGTCTTAAATCATTACTTAAGGAATTCAGTAGTTATCCTGATGCAGTCAACTACATCATGGATACTTGGTTGGTTCCTTACAAGGAGAAATTTGTGGCAGCATGGACAAACACGTGTATGCATTGTGGCAATGTTACAACCAACTGGTAAGATTACTTTTGTTCTATAAATTATTAATAAGTGCCATGTACTTGATTTTTATTTGACTTACATTGAATTGAACAGGGCTGAGAGTGCATATGCAAAACTTAAAAGACAATTGGATTCATGTCAAGTCTCATTGCAGGCATCATTTGTGAAAATACATAGTCTGCTTGAGTTGTAACACATTGATATCAAGGCTTCATTTGAGAAAAGTCTAACTGTTGTGCAACGTCAATTCAAACCTTCTCAGTTTAGGGAGCTACAGGGTAATGTGTTTATCTCTGTATTAGAGTATTTGCTTGTAGAGAGTAAGAGAGCCAACTCCATTGGTATTGATGCTGAAGCTTGTGGATGCGTCCTTCGCCACACTCATGGTTTACCTTGTGCCCATGAGATTGCTGACTACATCAAACAAGATCTTCCTATACCACTTGCTACCATACACTCATAGTGGAGGCAACTTCATATCTCCATATGCAACAAAGAAGAGGAAATGAAGGTGACTTGTCATGTAGAAGTAAAGTTGTTTGTGAAAAAGTTCAATGAAAGTGATAAAACCATGCGGTTGGAGCTTTTGAAGAAGTTGAAAGAGATTGTATGTCCAGGAAGCAATTTTCTTGTTGAGCCGGAGGTGAAGCCCAAAACACGTCCTCGGGATCATAAGAAGATCAATGTTTCTGCCCGTCGTGACTCGTGCGCATTTGAGTTGGTGCAATTTGGACATGATTTTTTCTCACCTAGGGACACTCAATTCACTACATTAGCTTCTATTCTGGAAACCAAAAAGAAGCGACCTATTAAGGGAAATGAGACGGTGAATGCGAAGGGGAAGGTGTACATTACCAGAACAGTAAAACCTGGTGCATATGTTGATGCTTTCTTTTTTGAGTTGAAACCATACATTAAGTTTGCCAAGGATGTAGCTACAGATGAGAATTGTGGTTTCGGGGCTATAACTACTTCAATTGGTCATACAAAAGATGATTGGGCTCAGGTTAGGCGTGATCTTTTAGGTGAGTTGCACACACACAAAGAGGAATACATTATACTATATGGGTCCTACGAAAGGTTTGAAGAATTGACAAGCATATTGTCATACTTTGAAGACAGTCCTGGCTACTCACATTGGATGACTATGCCAGACATGAGGCATCTTGTTGCATCGTGCT